GGTATAGTAGCAGCTTACACAACAGCTTCCTTTCTTCTATAAATAGAAGAGATTTCAGTTCATTATGTACATCTGTTTGAATTCGAATAATATATCAGTTTCTCTCTATACTTGTCTTTACTTTATAGTCTTTATTTTATAACAGTTTGCACTTTCTCTTCGTCTGACCTTTAGTACATTTTTTCATTCTCTCTCTTCTTCACTGGAAGCAAACAGAATCCGGAACCAAAGTGGTTTTTTTTTTTGGACTCAACACACAAAAATAGGTAAAAAAATCAACTAATGATCAATTTATATATAATGCATGTGTTGAATGCGCTATACCTTAACCGGCACATGCAAAACGCTATATTTGAATTTGACTAACCCTGAATAATTGGTGGTAGCACATGCATTCATTGCGCTACATATATAACGCTTATAATGAATGCGCTATACCCTCAATTATTATACTCCCGCATTGGTTTTTTGCTTATTTAAGAAGTTTCATTGTTTCGTTAAAATCCATTCAGGATAGGCGAGTCTTCTGCATCTTTTTTATTTTCTTTTACTCATTCCGAAATATTTGTTTACTTAACTTTTTCTGCAATTTGTCATAATGTCCGAATAGCGAAAAATTAGGGTTGCATTATATTTTGGGGGGGGGGGGTGTTGAGGTTGTCGTGGAGAATAACTCAATACACTATAGTTATTCTCCACAGTGTATTGTTAAGTTGCCACTTACAATGGAGTACGATAGATTGGTTTTGTTGTTATAATAAAAATATGAGTGTGAGAAAACGTTCGGTTAATATCAAAGTAACCAGAAGATATTCATATTCTGTTATTCCGCAGGGGGTTGCTTGTTATGCTGAGTTTAACATCGAAAATGATGAAACTCTGACAGATTTTTTGAGGACTCCGGATGAACACCGGAAACTTTTTGTGATAAAAATATTGGAAATGTACGTCAAGTTTGAAGACATTCGCAATATTGAGCTTCCGTAAAATAGGGATAACCCTCAATCATCGGGTGGTGTTTTTGGAGCAGTTTTATCCGAACAGGTTCCATTTGAAAGAGTTTAGCTAGATCTAAACTTATCTCCACGGGCGACTGAGTAGCGAGAACATAATTTCTCCCCAAGTTTACATAATCCACACGTGGAGTGGTAAATTTCAATTGTTGTTTGTATTAGTATGTTTTTTTTATGTATCATATTTGTATTAACACTCATGTATTTCATAGAGGGTACCGGCCAGATATGAATTTTACAAGTTATGAACCAACAGAAAGTTAGAATATGCCTAGTTTTGGTGTTTTGGATCATAGTGGTCATCCGGGAATCATCAACTACTTGATAATGTGCATCATGGGATATCAACAAATTATGAGTTGTAAGTTAAGAGATAAAGTTTATATATAATGTTGGGGACAGAACCAGGTCAGTCTCCCAAAACCTTCAGATTCAGTAGCTACCTTGTTTATTTGAGGTCACAATTTGTTTGCCCATGTTATTCTATGTAGGGATCCAACTATCCACGACTCTTTTGGGGTGCCTTCGCTCCTGTACGGTATCAACTCTGTCTTGAGAATTAGTTTTGGAGGGTACATCTTTGTTCCTCGAGCAAATGCATCACTTCTGTGTGGTACTGGTAGGGCTCAACATGTTTTCTGATATTTATATGCTCTTCCAATTCATTCAGGTTATCCACCAAGTTTCTTGTGGTGCTGTTCCTGTTCAAATTTGGCTATGCCAGGAAACTCTCATATGCTGGCAGGCTTCAAGTAATCAATTCTGTCATATTTTCTATCCACAGTTTTTGGGGCTCTGTGTTCATTCTCCCACAGAGTGTAGTGAAAGAGGTGGACAGGATCTGTAAAGATTTCCTATGGGGAGTTACAGAGGAGAATAGGAAGATCTCCCCAGTAGCTTGGGCTAAAGTCTGCTTGCCAAAAAACAGTGGGGGTTTGAATGTTCAAAGGTGTAAGGAGTGGAATAAGGCTTCAGTTGGGAAGTTGCTTTGGCAACTTATTGTGAAAAAAAAGACAGCTTGTGGGTGAAATGGGTACATGGACTATATATAAAAACAGATTCAAGTATCTGGGCTCATACTGCCCCCAGGACAGTAGCTGGCATTGGAGGAAGTTAAACTATTTGAAGCAGGAAATGCATACTTGGTTTCAGCAAGACCAGTACATTTTAAGCCAATCAGGACAATACTCAATTACGAAGAGTTACCTGGCCATTATTGGAACTCACAGGAAACTAGAAACTGCTGACATTATTTGGAATGCAATTGCCCAGCCTAAACACAGATTTATTACCTGGCTGGCTTATCAGAATAGGTTGCTAACAACAGTTACACATCCCAGTCAATGATACTAACTGCTGTATGTGTAATGATCAGGTTGATGAGACTGGGCACCTGTTAATGGAATGTAGTTGGTCAAAAGAAGTGCGAGTTACAGTAATGCAATGGGCTGGTGTTAAATTGTCTGGAGGAGATGTGTGTGCCCCTGGTTCTAAGGAGTATCAAAAAGGATAAATGGAAGCAATTCAAGAAGGAAGTACTTGCCGCTACTCTGGAAGCAGTCATCTACCACACCTGGAAGGCTAGGAACTGGAAAATTGTTAGATGAACTTATGTAAATACTGAGATTACAGTTGTATAGATTAAAAAAGAAGTAGTAGATAGGCTGGAAGTTTAGGAGCTCAAAGAAAGCACAAAAATGTAGAGGTTTTTTTGCAGGCAATAGCTGTATAGTTCAGACATGCTGAGGCAATTGCTCACAGTTTATTGTGAGAAGGTGCTCTTTAGTTGGTAACTGTTTGATTGATATTAATGGTAATTCACAATGTTATAAAAGAAAAACAGTGCAATACAATAAGAGTTTGAAAGGAAAACTACATATTGTACTAAGAAACATGCGAAAGGCATCTGGCATCTCAATATAGATCATCTCAATTATGTGGCATAAATATCTTAGACCTTCAATGTAAAACAAAATAGAAACAAATACTGCAGGAAAATTAAGTCATCACTAACACTTCTTATACAGACCGTCAAACATCTAGGTGGATTTTATTACCAAATCATAGCATCCACAATATTAACTTATATTAGAGGAATAACATTGATCCAATATTTCCTCTTACTTTAAGAAAGCTCCACAAGTATCTGTCCAGTGGGCATACAACTTCGCAGCGGCAGACAGACTCCACAAGAAGTTGGAGAAGAACTACGCTGTGATATTTGATGCAGCTTGAAAAGCTCGGATAAAGCTCTCTGGAGGTTGGCCACCACTCAACTGGTACTTGCCATTTAGCTGCCGAATATAACTGCTTAGTAATTTCTAATTCATGGATTAACATATCGAAAGTGCTCATGGCACAATGTGATAAGTTGTGTGGCATACCACAAAATGTGGAACCCCTGATATATTAGATGAGTACTGCTGAAGCTCTTCATTCACCTTCACATACCAAAAAATAGCAGCATTTACTGGAGATAGTACAAAATTTTGATCTATCTTGCTTCTGAACCAACATGGAGAGTAGTGAATGGGTGTTGCAAATTAGGTAACACGTGATGTGAATGACATGGTCCATCATGGAACAGAACATGGAAAGACTGGCCAATACTGCCAAGTCAAGATATCGTTGAGCTTGGCTGTGCGAGAAATGCTAATATAATTGAACGTGTCGTTACATGTTTCTGAAGCAGAAACTATCTGTCCCTCTCGCTCACAAACCTTCCGAGAGAAAGGAAAGAGCAAGAAAAACAGCGGGCAGACTCTTCGGGTTGACTATTAAATAAAAGCTGTGAAACATACCTCCTTTAGCCCATTGTTCGGATCCTCAAGGAAGTCAGCTGCCCCTTCAACACCAGCCTTTCTTGCAGCTTCTACAAGAAATTCCCTTCAAGTGGAAAATCAAATTTTAGCACATTAAACTCTAAATGATGCACTTTATACCATATACATCACGATATTTAGTATATATAACATCTGATTGTGTTCATAGAGCATTAAAATAAGTAAAAAAGGTTATCGACAGTGATGCATCACTGTAATGATTAATGATTATCATAGTTGTAGTCAACATTGATGACATCGGACTATCTGAAGCAAAGTTTTCAATATTTAGTAGTGTCCTTAGCAAAAGCACGTGACCAATGAATTGCAACTTTCCTCTCCTCAAACCTGACCTCCCCACTAACACCCAGGTATTCCAAAAAGAAAAGAAGGAGAAATAAGAGAAAAACAAAGAAATTGATTCTATTGATTAGGAAAATTGCACGAGCTGGTAAATCACTGGAAAAAGCTCATCAGTGATTTCTATTTGCTTGTAAGCTTCATGCTTAGCTAAATATCAGTGTTGGTCATTGAGCCAAGGGGATTATAAAAGGAAGAACCTTAAAAATAGCTGCTCCTGAGTCACTAAAAACAGGCAGGCCGAAAATCCTATAGAAAGGAAAAAGATAAAAAAAGTTGATTTTTGTTACTGCATAACAGAAGTATGTTAATGCAGCAAATCTTATGCTATCGGGAAGAAAGGCACTAACCTGTCACCTATATACCTTCCCTGGGTGAAATAGCCAAGAAAAAGCTCCTCAGCAAGATTATTTTGCTTGTCAAGCCCCTGTTGTCCTGCGAAATATAGAAGTCTGTGGCTGTCCAAACTACTTCCTCTGCATATCCAAAAAAACCAACCATTTTTTATAACACAAAAGTTTGCACTTCACAGCATTGAGTAAATAAGACACAGACTAATCAGACTTACGTAAGTCCTGACATGTTATATTCCAGCCCAAGGCCCTTAAAAACCTGCACGATTTTGAAAAGATTACAACAAGGCAATTCACTCCACAGGCAACTTTTCAAGACAATTTGTTTGGGCAATAAGAGAAAAGAAGAAAATATGAACCTCTGTCATTCTTGAAGTCATTTGTTCAGAGCGAGGCCCAAACTTACTTCTGTAGTAATCTTTCTTGTTAACCCCTTCTTTAGGCGCAGAAGAGTTGAGAAGATAGGGATGCCATCTAATCTGCAAAACAGCATTTTGCCAGTAAAAGTAAAGGAACCGGTTGAAATGGAAGCACAGATAACAGAATCAAACGGCACCTCAAAATCATACTGATCACTGGCTAATGCTATAGCTTTATCAAGGTTTCTTTTCCCCACAAAGCACCACGGACAGACAGTATCTGAACTGATATCAATTCGAATAAACTTCTTCCCGATGTTGGTGGCCATTGATTGACGCAGGAACCTGATTTCATACATTCAGAAACAGGTCATTTTAACTAACCTCATATCGTTCTTCTGTTATACGGGGTAAACCATTTTAGAATAAAGTGCAGATGAGTTTAGGTTCTCACCTCCCAATCTGTCCTACCTTATATGACAAAAAGAATTTGAATGACAGTGCAGCTCGTGATCACATGATGATCTATTGTCAAGTTCAAGAAATGAAATCACGTCCCCAGATATTAATCTTCTTTAGATTTTTGTATCGAACCATGCAACAGAGGAAAAAGTTTCTCACTAATAGAATGGGTCAATCTAGCCTTCTGGTGAGCGCACTACACCCATTTATTTTGGTTCAGACCTCGACAATTCTACCTACGCGCACGAGTTAAAAAAAAATTATATATGTGATAGACCGTCCGCGTTCTGATTTCACTAACTCTAAATTTCGCTGCCTCCATTTCAAATTATTGGATGTCTATGGTATAAAGCATGAACTTGACTGCTAATAATGGTTTTACACGTCCAAAACCAGAAAATTAGAATTGGCTTTATCCCTATGTTGAACAATGATTCTTCTTATAATCATGGTGTCCGAGCCAACTTATTCCATGGGTACCCGCTACCTCACTCCTAGTGAACTTTAAATCATTCTATCTCAATGTATTTTAGTCTTCAATTATTTGGTCTATAATATAATAGACGATATTTGAAAATTTTACAGGAAGGAGAAAAAATAAATATGAATATTTCAAGAATCCCAAGAAATTGGCATCTTCTTCAAAAATATATGAAGTTCCCAGATTAATAAACTAATCCACCTAAAAGTTAATATATATCCAGAAAAAGAAACTGCTAGAACATATACTCAAAGCTTCAGTTTCATGAGTTCACTTCTTGAACCAAAGCATAACTAAATCAAAATTTGATAAGCAGGAAAATAAAGAGAGGCCAATTTCAGAAATCTGGCGAAGCAAAGTGTTTCTAAATTCTAACACACATATATTATATGGAAAGTAACAAATGGGAAACTGTCAAATTTCAATTCAACCCATTAACTAAGAGTTAATCAGAAAGCTTACCTCGTGGAAATTGGGAATTTCGGAAGACTTAACGAAAGGATATAAATTACGTACTAATCTTTTGGCCCGAAACTAAAATCACGTCTTCTCCTTATGTTAATGTTCTTTAGATGGTTTTTTTTTTTTTTTTTGAATTTTTAGCTGATGTAGCAAAGGTTGATACCTTATTTATTTTAAATAAATATCATTTTAAAAAATTATACTATATAGATACCTTTTGATTTTTATAGCCAAATATCTATTTATGGTTACCTCCTACTCTTAAGTCATAAAATACTCTTTGTATTATTTTTCTCTCTCATTCTCTCAGATTTTTCTCCACCCTCTGTCTCAACGTCAGTATCTCTCCCTCAACGGCCCATGTATTATTGTTGTAATTCTTCTTCTTCGGATTATGATGGTCGAAAAACCGTTTCGCATGTTGTTGTTGTTGCTGCTTTGGCCGTGATGGTGCCACTAATTCTCTACAATGTAGAAATTGACGGGGAGACCTATTACAATTGCCAGCCAACCAATGTTTATAGACTACTAATTTTTTAGTAGTACGTTGTTTGTGATCTAGTGAAGGATGAAGACGACCCATCA